GCTTTGGCTTGTATAATAAACACATACATTTTTATGTATGAATGAATATTATAATGTGCACCATCAATAACTTTCATATGGAATGCAAACTATGGAACTCTAAATCAAGTCCTATACACACGGACAACAAAAAGGAGCACCCAGTGTGCATTCTTCACACCCAATGAGCACTCAAAAGAATGCATTAAGCTGAATGTCTCAACTCATATAAGTGTTCAATGAAGCACACACTTAGCATTGCATCTTATCACGTCAATAGGAACATGGGCTGGACTGTCGGCTCATGTTGAAGTCCAATACATTTTCACTGCACTCTTTTGATGGAAGAGTAATTCATAGCATTCCCTTAAAACTTGCCATAGACGTTACAATCTGATTGTACAGCATGGTTGCCAAAATTTACTGAGAATCCATGCCGTGTCAGATCATGGGTCCCACCACATGGCATTGGAGGCAGACATCTGAACCTGTCCTTTTGCGCCCCTTTTGCTCTTCAGCATAGGCTAGAAGAACTGGCACAATGGTGACAACAGTGGTCAGCTGATTGTGGCCTCACCTTTTAATGTCAGAAATTACATCACAGTCAATTGACATCTGCATTCCTCCCCTACATATCAGACCACAAAAACTTAATAATATAATTGGTCAGTGCGTATGGAACCACACCACCCTGTGGCATCAACCTTCTCTTTAAGGATATGAAAGGCTTCCTGAGCAGCTAGCTTTTAGGCATTGATCAAGGTCCATGGTACAGTGCTTATATTAGTCTGTAAGATGAAGTGAGGATTGTGGCTCCAACTTTGGAGCCATCCAGTTCTAACCTACTTGGACTTTTTGCAGAGATCGATCGTGTTGAAAGCGGTCTTCAAAGGATTTAGAAGAAAAAATAATGTTGTCAAAGTAAATTAAAACGTGGTCAAACACCAGGGGGTCTATTCACGAAGCAGCCAAAGGATCTAGCCGTAGCTTCGGCCGATCCTTCGGCTAGCTTCGGCCCCAGGACCCCTTCGGTTTCACTATATTCACTATATATATATATTCACTAGCCTGTACAGCTCCCGAAGTTGGCCGGGCGGCTCAGTCGAGCCAAAGGCATATGCTTCGGCTCAACTGAGCCGAGGAGAAAGCCGAAGCTGGCCGAGCGGCCGGCCGTTGGCCGGCCGACAGCCTGCTTCTGACAGCTGGGCGGAGCTAGCTGTGATCTTACGGCTGGCTCCGGCCACTTGCAGAGAGATCAGTGTCCCTGGTTACCAGCTAACCAGGGACATTGATCTCCAGACAACCTAACTCTCCCGGGCGCTCCGGGAGTCTCCCCCTACGGACGCCCAGGAGAGAAACACTGCTTTTTCTTTTACCTTTTTTTTTCTTCTGACACGGAGCCGTGTCAGAATAAAAACACAAAAACATTTTCACCATGGGAATGCATTGCTAGATTCCTATTGGCTATTTCAATTTGCAATAGCTAATAGCAAACAAGCTATTGCACCCGCTCTCTGCTGCAATTCTCCATCAGGTCCCCACTAGTGATTGACAGCAGCAGAGGGCGGGTACAATAGCTAGTTTGCTATTGGCTATTGCAAATTGAAATAGGAATCTAGCAATGCATTCCTATGGCCAAATGTTTTCTTTTTTTTTGACGGCAGCAGAAAACTGTTGGGTTGAGCTAGCTGTCATTGCTATATATGGCTATATACGATATGCGGCTGAAATCAGCCGTACCAGCCTGAAGTGAATAGCCGAACAGCGTTTGGCTCACTTCGCTTCAGGTCGGTCATTCACTCGGCTGCTTACGGCAGCTTAGTGAATAGATTCCCAGGTCTCTTAGGTGCTGATTTAAAAAGCAGCTCTGAAAAAAAGCATAGCAATGTGATATACAAATGTGCATTTTCGACTATGCAGCCTACAGGGAAGGCTTGCAGACACCATTGAGTATGGACAGTTGGATAAGGATCTGGGTAGAGTACTATGAGTAATTTCATTTCCCTGGTCAATATTGTCCAGGCAAATGGATAGAGAACAAATGGGTTTGCAAACTTATTATACAATGCACACTTCCCATATACTAGTTATCTAAGGTTTACTAAAGACTCATAAAGGGACCTCGTTGTTAAAATGTAGACCTATTGTATCGGGATCCGCCACCCATAGCTTTGGCTCGGCTAATTGACTTTTACTTGCAACTCTTAATCAAGAACCTACCTGCATACATCCAGGATATGAATTGTTTCTTGGAGAAAATTAAGATATATTCCATATTCAATATGAACTGAATACTGGCAACAGTGAACATAAAACCCCTGTAGCCTAATGCAGCAGGCATACAGTTGGCATACATTTTCTGTCTTACTCTACATCAAGGGACTTTGCTCATGAATATTTGCTTGAATGTCTCAATTTCGTACTTGAGAAAACACACAGATATGTGGCACTGCCATGGGCAGCTCAACTTCCCCTTCATTTGCAAATCTATTTGTGGGGTAGCTAAATGCAATAGAACACTACATGACGTCTTGGGACATGGCGATCAGAGGCCAAAATATGCAAAAGTCCTTTTATAATTTCTACTTAAAACAGGGTGTGACAAATGCCATAACTGCAACGTTGCAACACCTTAATTGGTGAGGAACACTTTCCACACCCACATGAAGTACTGTATATAGATACTTCATTAAAGATTAATGAAATTACAACACTGGTTACTGTGCTTATATATTAAAATGCCAGTGCGTATTAATGTACATAGAGAAAAGAAAAGGCCCTTTTAAACAATGCTTTTGGAGACAGAAAAGTAACATTAGGATGGTGAATTAATCGATCTGGACAATCCCATAGGAGTTTACTTCATTACAGACAAACATCAGATCCATGAACTTAGGGGCATGGTGATTGAGCACATCAAATGCGCTGTGAGAGTTGGGGACTGTGATTGTCTTGAATGCTCTGTAAGACATTCTGAATGTATACACTAGGTACTGTACACCCAGGCAGTTTACCAATTTGCCACTTGCATGTTTTTTGGATCAGAGATGATTAATTTGCCATTCATTAATCATTGGACCTTTTTTTCTCTTCATTTCTCCTATTTATCCCCATTTCCATAATTTCTTTCTTCTCTCCCTCTACCACTTGCCCTTCCCCTGGGTTTCTCCCACATTCATGCTGTGCTTTGCAATTATTGGTTGAAGAGGACCATTATTATTTAGGATGATGTGGGGGATTTATCAAAACTGGTGCAGAGAAAAGCTGGAGCAGTTGCCAATGGCAACCAATCAGCTTCACTCTTTGGTTTGTTCAGTTAAGCTTTCAAAATTAAAAGGTGGATGCTGATAAAAATCACTTTATTAGTTGAGCGCTACATACAGTGATAGCTGGCCTCTTCCAGCTGTGGCTCCAGGGGCTTCCCCTCTGCACAATGTGCATGGGAAGCTGCTTGCTGCCATTCAACACCTATTTTTCTTAATGGATACATGGCTCTGATTGGATAAGGTAGAGGGGCTGGGCAGATGATACCACGATCCACACCTCATCCAATCAGAGCCTGACTTGTAATCATTGAAATAAAAAAATACAAGGTGTCTAAATTGCGGCAGTGATCAGTGTGCAGAGGGGAAGCCACTGGAGCCACAGCCAAAAGAGACCAGCTATCACTATTATGTTGCGGACTACTACAGTGATTTTCAGCATCCTCAGCAGCCCACCGGAGAGCACATATGGCCCACAGGGGATCACATATGAATACTTACATTGAGCCAAGCTGGACCAATGTAAGGATCCATAAAATATTATTCCTGGAGTTCCACTTTATGCCTTAAAAGGATCCGTTACATACAGCTCTGTCTATCTGTGATATGTGTTGGGTCTATAGAATTTTGTAAAATCAACTATCCCAGTAGAAAGTGAAACAGACAAAAGTACCTGAAAATGCATAAAGGTACAGTATTGGAAATTACTTAATTAAAATGTATGGTTTTATACTAATCACACTAATCACACACACACAAGTGAACTTCCCCTCCTTTTTTGGTATTTTCTCAGATTGTTTTTAATTCCCTTAACAGCAAGCATGCCAAGAATGGACTCTTGTGAGGCTTGGTCTGCTGGCCAGAAATAGGCACTTATGAGGCCTGATATGCTAGTCAGGGATGTACTCTTGTAAGGTCCTGGTCTACTTATCAGGGATGGACTCTTGTGTGGTCTGGTCTGCTAGTCAGGGATGGACTTTTGTGTGGCCTGTTAGTCATGTGGTCTGTTACTCATGGATGGACTTTTGTGAGGCCTGGTCTGCTAGTCAGGGATGGGCTCTTGTAAGGTCCTGGTCTGCTAATCAGGGATGGACTCTTGTGTGGTCTGGTCTGCTAGTTAGGGATAGACTCTTGTGAGGTACTGGTCTGCTGGCCAGGAATGGGTACTTGTGAAGCTTTGGTCTGCTGGTCAAGCCATTGCTTACATCACTAGCCTTTTTCACTGGCCGGGACACTTGTGGTGAGAAAAGAGCAAATGGGCAGTATCAAACAAACCAGAAGCAGGGGACTGGAGATGCAGACAAACATATGGGTGTGCTTAGGAGGCAGAGAGAAAGTAAGATCTGTGAAAGGTTCTATATATAAGGTATAAAAACAATGACTTTGGCAGTAAGTAGCAGCACATTGTAACATTCCTGCCAGTACAGCTGCATAGAGCTAAACATTTTTTTATATGTATTGCCGTGGTGTAAGATTTATCCATTAATACATCTACCAAAAGCTTTAAAAGACAAGCAATTTCTACATCACTACAGAATGACAAAAATACATTACAAAGTTAAATGTACAAAAAAGCACAAGCTAGTAATATTTTTTAAAAAGTGAGTTTGCTTGCTCTCCCTTTATACATACAAACAATCCTTTAAACTCACAAAGTAGACCATACTAAGATGGTTCTTTGTGTGGAAATTAGGACCTGAAGAATACAAGGTCAGGTCAGCCACATGTTTTTTTTTCTATGGTATCACATGCACTTACCATGGAGTATGTTCAAAGGCACGGGGTCCTCAAACTTCACACTCTTCACTGGGGAGTTCACAGATCCCAGAATATGTTTAAATCTTGTATGAATATCTCTCTGCAAGTCACTCCTTGTGTTTGACTATCTCAGAATGTCAGTTTCATCCTGTTGTCCTTAACTACATTTCTGCTGTTTAAAAAAAAAAAAAAAAAAGACGACCATAGAAAGTTGTCAAACTGGTATTCCAGGTTTAGCCCTGCCCTGGACACCTTACAAGTTCAGCTTCTTCCGCCCTGACTCACCTATACATGTGAGAGTCTGTTGTGACAAGACTTCTGAACTCTTTGCTGGAAACCTCACAGAATGGCCGCTGGGTTTCCTCCAACCTACTACAATACCCTACTAATGACAAGGAAGAGAATAATTCATACTTGTTTCAATGTACATGATAATTGTTCTTACTTGCTTGGATCATTATCACAAGAAAAACACTTTAGGGTTTATCAAAGAGATGAAAAAAAAAAAAAAAACCTTCTGTTTCAGAAAATCTCACACTTTCTCTTTCAGCAGTTCTTCTACCCAATACATTTCCTAGGCTTCTGTGTGACTGATTATCATAAAGAATCAGACACTACAAAGTTGATTTATGCAGAACAAAGGTAAAACATGACATTTGCCCTGGCAATTGGTTGTGGCTTAGCTTTTATTTTCTATCCTGAAATGGAACATATCTGTCTATTTAATAAAGTTTACAGGGAGCAGAAAAGGGTTAATGTATATGTCGAGGCAAAAAGAAAAATATAGAGAGAGGGTGTTTACTGGTGTTTATTTGGGGGTGTATTTAGAGTAGTTTAGTTTTACTTGTATTTGTGTATTTTTTTTCTTTCAGGTTTGTTTATTTGATTATTTTGTGCACAGTAAGTTTACATTTGTTTATGTAACTATTTTTGCTGTTTGTTTTTTTCATTCCATGAAAAAAAAAATGTAAAATAGCGAGGGACTGCTTTTTGGCACACAAACGGGTCCAGGATAGTTGCAAGGAGATGTGCAGCATGCAGTTTATTAGTTGTGGTCACTGAAGATTACAGGCTCAACTAAAAGTAAGATTTTAATCACTGTGGGCCTGTCTAATTTATCATACATTATGACCATAAATGTATATTTACTGATTAGTGCCCTGGTGCCCAACCTGCGGCCAAGGGCCATATGCGACCCATTGGCCCTTTTTGTGTGTCCTTCAAGCCCCTGCGCACAGTAATCTGGGTTTATCTATTGGCTTGTAATAGTACTAATACTAGCAGGCTAATGAAATGTCTCTCCAGTCTATGACCATCTACTGAAGCAGTGATTGTTATTTACATTGAAACAATATTACAAGGAAGCAAAGAGGTGCAGAGGCAATACAGAAAGTAGCTTAATCTTGTAGCACAATGAATCTCTACAATCAGTTTTCTTACTGGCTGTTCACCCATTACAGTTCACTTCAGAAACTAGCAGGATGTGCTATACAGGGAAAACAACAAAAAATTACTCATCAATCATACCATTATGATATAGTAACATAGTAGGTAAGGTTGAATAAAGACACAGGTTCATCTAGTTCAACGTGTGTGTGTGTGTGTGTGTCTGTATATACTTGGCTCTAGTAGTTCCCATATCCTTGTATATTTAGTGAACTAAGAAGCTCATCTAAAGGTTTCTTGAATTTATCAATGCTATCAGTGGTTACTACTGACTGTGGAAGGGAATTCCAAATTTTTACTACTCACACAGTAAAAATACCTCTTACGATGTCTAAGATTAAACTGCCTTTCTTCTAACCTCTTGTTGTGCCCTCATGTCATCAATAGAGTTCTCGGTGTTAACATCTTATTCTGGATATTGAAGTCCCTATTTATGATTCTGAAAATTGCTCTTAAGCGCTTTTTTTCTAAGGAGAACAAGTTTAATTTTTGGAGGCGAACTTCATAACTCAGGCCTTCCATTCCTCTTAATAATTTTGTAGCCCTTCTCTGAACTCTCTTAAGTTTGTGGATGTCTTTGCTGAGGGTTGGTGAGCAAAACTGAACCACATACTCAAGGTGCGGCTGGACAAGTGATTTATAAAGTGGTAAGATTGTGTGTTTATCCCTTGCCATAATACCTCTTTTAACCAGTTGACATCCGCGGTGTTAAACCCCCTTCCCATCCAGGCCATTTTTCAGTATTCAGCGCTGCGGTACTTTGACTGACATTTATTCCGTCATGCAGCGCTGTACTGAAATGAATTTTATACCCTTTTTTGGGGACAGATAGAGCTTTCTTTTGGTGGTATTTATTCACCACTGGGGGTTTTATTTTTTTACTATATTAAGGAAAAATTACCGAAATTTAAAAAAAAAAACAGTTTCCCCTATATTAAATGATAAAACATTTATTATTACCCAATTTTTTGGTAAAATATAAAAGATGGGGTCACGTCGGGTAAAAAGACACTAAACATGTCAAGCCTTAAAATTGCGTGCGCGCGCGAAACCTCAAAAAACGATAATACCCAAAATTGGCCATAGGCGACGCTTTAAAAGCTGTTACCGCTCATCAGTTTAGTGTTATCAGTGATTGATGGCCCTAAAATGATTGCTCTCACTGCGACGTTCGCGGCGATATGTAACATGTGTAGCGCAATTGTAATTTTTGCGCGCTGGGGCACCGGACGCGTATTTACGTTTATAGGCGCGTAAACGTGGGCGTGGGGGAGTTAAACATTTTGGGGTTTTTTTCCCCCTTTTTTTATATGTGACTTTTATTTTATTTTACTTTTTTATATGTTACTTTTATTTATTTTTTTTTATATATTTTTTTTTGCACTTATTGTTATTGCTATTATATAGGGGGATAACAATCCCCCTATATAATAGCAAAGGCACACTGACAGGTCCTCTTTATGGAGACATTAGGGGTCTCTAGGACCCCTAATGTCACCTGTGGACCCCAAAAGAAGCTGATGAAGCAGAGATCTACTTCATCAGCTTCTTCTCTCTGGCTATAGCAGCCAGATGACTGACAGGTGAATGCGGAAGTGATGTAATACACATCACTTCTGCATTCACAGCCCGGACGGAAATCAGCAAGGAGCGAACAAGCACATATAGACGATCGGCGGGCTATGATCGCCTATATGTGAAACACCCGGTAACGGGTGTGTGCAATGGTCGGGTCTTTTCTGCCCATGCGTGCCCACTAGGGGGCGCGCGCAAGCAGAAAAAAAATGCCGTCTGGAGACGGCAACCCGCCAATGCTGCAGTGCCGTCCGTCTGTTTTTTTACAACGGGCGGACGGCAAGAGGTTAATGCAGGATAGTATCCTGTTTGCTTTGCTGACCCCTGCTTGTCATTAAATCTAAGATCTACGAGGACCCTATGATCAAAGGGTCCTATGAGGAGGGGAGGGAGGGGAGCTTAATCTCCTCTGACAGTTGACTCCTCCCCCGCACTGTGCGGCCCGGCCTCCTGTGACAGCTGACAGCTGTCTCCGCGTCCACACTGCCGCTCTCCTGATCACGGTGAGGGAGGAGTGCTCAGCCTCCTGTGACAGCACTGCAAGCTGTCTCTGCCCACACACTGCCATTCTTCTGATCTCTCACAGGAAGCTGAGAGGTGTGGGCTCAACCATTCACATTGCTCTCCTCCACAGCACCGCTCGGCCTCCTGTGACAGTTGTTTTCCTTCCTGCTGGGACGCAGAGCAGCGCCCAGCAGGGAGGAGAGACAGCAGGGATGCACAGCTATTTCGGCCGAAAGATGGCACTTTTGGCATTTTGCCAAAAGTGCAATTTTCGGCCGATATGTTTCGGCAGTTGAAATTTCGGTGCTTCCCTAAAATTTATGTCTTGCTGAGAATTTACTGCCTTGCACAGTTTAGTATCATCTGCAAACACTGAGTTTGAACTATTTATTTCAATCTCTGTCATTTATGAATAAGATAAACAGGATCGGTCCCAGGACTGAACCTTGGGGCACCCAACGCACAGTTTTTCCAGCACATCTGAAGATGCTCAATTTGATTGAGATCTGGAGAATTTGGAGACCAAGTCAACACCGCAAACTTGTGTTATTTTTCAAACCGTTTTTGAACCATTTTTGCAGTGTAGCAGGGTGCATTATCCTGCTGAAAGAGGCCACTGCCGTTAGGGAATACCATTTCCATGAAGGGGTGTAATTGGTCAGCAACAGTGTTTAGTAGTTGGTATGTCAAATTAACATGCACATGAATGGCAGAACTCATTGTTTTTCCAAGCAGAACATTGCCCAAATTAATATAAAGCCCCTGCTAGCTTACCTTCTTCCCATAGTGCATCCTGGTGCCATCTCTTCCCCAAGTAGGTGACACACTTGCACCTGGCCATCCACATGATGTAAAAGAAAATGTATTTAATCAGGCCAGGCCACCTTCTTCCATTGCTCCGTGTTCCAGTTTTGATGCTCATGTACCCATTATAGGTGCTTTTGGCGGTGGACTCAGGTCAGCATGGGCACCCTGAACAATCTGCAGCTATGCAGTCCCATACGCAACAAATTGCAATGCATTGTGTGTTCAGACACCTTTCTATCAGAACCATGCCTTTTTTAGGAATTAGGGCTACAGTAGCTCTTTTATTGGATCAGACTACATGGGGCCAGCCTTTGCTTCCCACGTGTATCAGTGAGCCTTGGCTGCCCATGATCCTGTTGCCGGTTCACCAGTTTTCCTCCCTTGGACTGGTTGGCATATCTCGTCAGCTGCATGTACGTATATTACCCATCCTGTAACAGTACAGAGGTACTGGACTGTGGTTCCCAAAATGGCTTCCTCCCAAGATAACAAACTCCCAGATGGCCTCCTCCACAATGCTTCCTCTCCGATGGACCTCTCTCCCCAAAATGGCTTCATTCCTCTCTGATGGCCTCTCTCTTAACCTCATTCACTATCATTAGAAACCCCTAATTAGTCCACAAAACCTAAAAGAGCTATCTCGTGATAGTGATTGGATGGCAACTTAAGTCCAGGGCCGTCTTTGGGGGGGAGGGGGCAAAAGGGGCAGCT